AGGAATGTGTTGTAAGAGGAAAGAAGAGATCCAGGGGGTACCCCAAGAAAGAAGTCAAGGAGTACAGAGAAATGGAGAGGGAATGGACAGGTGTTGATGATTTAAACTATAAGAAGAGCACTTAATCTGAGCAATGATGATGAATAAATTTTGAGCATGACAGTTTTGTGGAGAAATTATGAATAAAGTGATAAAATCACTAAGTTGATTCATGCTCTCTCTATTCTATTGAGTTTCAGACTTTGATAGTTTTAGTTGTACAGAAAGTGAAAAGGCACCGAGGTTTGACTACAAGATGCTGAGCAGTAGCTAGACATCCAATCATGACACACAAATGTCATACTTCTCACATACATACTTCACTGAAAACTGGTGCCATGCTGGCAATTTTCTGAAGGCTCATTTTGCCAACCGAAGAATTGGAATCATTAATCCAGTTTCTGAAGAGGACCAAAAATTCTTCTGGTAATGATTCCTTGAAGAAGTTGTTCAGAAGCTTAAAAAACAAAAACAAAAACAAAAACAAAAACAAAAACAAAAACAAAAACAAAAACAAAAACACACCAGAACACACAGTTAATAAATTAACAAGTAGAGTCAGGACTCCTCCCTGCCTCCCCATTTGACTTCATATATCTTTTACTTTCTTAAATTCTTATAAGAAAAGTATTTGAGAGGGAAATTAGATGCTAAAGTTTTAAGTCTATTCTAGGAATGAGAAGGAGATCTCAGTTGGTTACAATCTACTATTAAAACTCACTTCAGCAAAGAATATTATGGTGACAATACTGTCTTCTGACCTTCTAGGACCTTCTACTGCAACCTTGTAGACATAATGTAGGGTCTCTGGAAACTGTGGAAAGTTATATTCACTGAGAGTTCTGTAAAGAAGTACAAGGCACCAACTTAGCCAAGCAGAAAAATATTCCGCATTACCAAGTAAGGAATCAATCCTTACTTGCCTACAATTGACTACCCAGACAGAAAAAATATTCTAAAATATTCCCTTGTGTAAGGCATCATCACAGCAGCTGCAGCATCAGGACAGCATTTACATTAACTCTGAGGAATTATGCAAGCCTGGGTCACTACAATATTTCTTTCCTTATCATCATCCCTATTCTTTTCTCTCCTATTTTTCCACATTAAGAAAAGTCCTACTTTTACATAAGCAGCCATCAGTTCTTGACAAAAGAGAGAAAAAATATATATCTAAAAGGCAATTCAAGGTATAGGCTATAGGTCAGTTTGTAGCTTTGGATCACACTCTTCTTTTTGGGATGATGTTGGGTTACTTCAGAGAAGGGCTGATAAGCTCTGGTTTACTAATCCATTTTCCAGAAGCACTTAGGCAGTAGCCAGGTGTAGACATGTCTTCATAAACTGTCCTGAGTCTAATGGGTAGAGATAGCATATTTGGGGAGCATATGGTAACTTTCTGTTTCAAACTTCAGATCCTTTTGCTAAAGCTGTAAATGTTCATTCAAACCACAGAATTCACAAATACAAAGCTTTGCCTTCCAAGTGATGTTCTTGCTGGTCTGTGGACTACATTTTGAGTAGTACTAAGAATAGGGTGATGATTAAATGAATACGTTATCTCACTTTTGGTACAATGTAGGAAGGTACTGTTTATTTAACTGTCAATGGCTGCCAGACTGCCAGGAAGGTGATGGGCCTCATTTTATAGTCTTATGGAAAAACATCTGCATGGCTGAAAAAAAAAACTGTATTGGATCATGTTTTAGTAGACTATGTCTATATTTTTCTTGTGTTCTTCACCTGTGAAAATGTCTGTTTTTTAAGTTGCAAAGGTCTAGGTTTTTTAGACTCTATAAGGATAGAAATTTATTTCCCCACAGTGTCATGTTCTAGGTGCTCATGTAACTGTGGGACTTTCTTAGCATCCCTTCTTTCTCCAGACATTCATATAGTTGAAATTGATGAAAAGCAAAGTAAATTTATAAGATTTACTTGTTATATTCGTTAATTAATGCTATGTACTTGGAGATGATCTCATATGACTCATATGACATGACTTCTTTTATCTTTTGGGTTTTTGTTAACTTAGAAAGATTAAATAAGTATTGCATTCATTTAAAAAGATATGTTCTCAAAGTTCATATGCCAACATGATACTCATTTTTAGAAGCATCTAAAGCCTATGGGCCACATAAAAAGTATTCTCTGAACTGGTCACAATTATAAATTGTCCTATGTATCAACAAGGCCCTGTATTCTGGATTTTATTGTTCTGGAAATCTGATCTCTATAATCAGAAAGATTAATTAAAAACAAACTAAAGAAACAATCTCAAAACATTTCTAGTTCAGGAAATTTTTTTTTAATTTCTTCCATTATATTTTTCAGAATATGTTTGGCTTATTGAGTACATATCTTTGCTAGACCTCTCTAAAGCTAGAGGGCATCTGGCATTTTTGAATGTCTACCGAACAGGGAACAACTAACATCAGAGAGAAAAATATCACACTTGCTTTCAGTTCTTTGTATGTGAATGAGAACACTATTCTATTTGGGGGTGGGTTTAGGTGTGTCACTGAGCGGAGTGATACTGGGTGCTTCTGTATCATTGAATAAGAAGAAGAGAAAGGGGAAGCTATCTCAGGAAAAATCTTCAAATCATTAAAAAAATTAGAAATGAAGTTGCATTGTAGACTATTAGAAAAGTTGTAGAAAATTTGTTCCCACAGAAGACACCCCAAGGAAGCTGTAGATAATGAGACGAAGAGAAAGAGCTCCAACCAGAGTCCCCTGTTCTTACTTCACGATGAGGTGGATCCCGTACTGGTGATCCATGACTTGAGAAAACTGGTCCCAGAAATTCTTTCTCTCCAGAGCTTGATTCACTTCCTCTAGTCCAGAACAATTCAGCAGAGCCTTCAGGGCATCTCTTACGTAGCTGAGGCACAGAAAAGAACAGATATTACAGGAATAATTACACACAGCCTACTATTTTGAGAAGTATACAGTTTTAGAGAGAGGAATAGAGGAAGGTAATTGTTAAATGATTTCCATCTTTCCCAATGAACATTATGGAGAATTCACAAGTTAAAATAAAATGGTAGCAACATAAAATGTAGGTTGAATCATACTAACAGCTTACTGTCTTACCCAGAAATGTAATAACTTGGTAGAACTATCAATTTCCTTTGTGAGAATTTCTAAATAATCAGAATAGGTTCCTATCTTCTTGGGAGTGGTTTATATATGTCTTTTAAAAAGACAATGGATTTTTTTCAACTTTTTATAGGTTCTTTGTGACTTTCACTTCATGCACCCCAATCCCACTTATCTCCACCATCCTCCCCTGGCACACACACCCTTGCAACCTCCCAAACCCAACAGAGGAAAGAAATTCACTGTGGAAGCTGCACTGTGTCACAGTGTGTCTCATGGCATATCCTTCTGTCTACAGTTTTTTTTTTTTTGCTTGCAAATGTTCATTGTAATGACTCATTGGTCTGGTATGAGGCCTCTGGCTTCTGCTATTTCACCAATACTGGATCCTCACCTGGAACTCCTTTTTTATACCCTGTTGTTGCTCTGTGCAATGGAGATTCTGTAGTTTTGGATCTGTAGGATGAGCCCCTTCATGTACTTTAGCAGTTCGTTGATGGCATAGATGTTGTAATTGGACCAATTCAAAGCCCTGTATCTGGGCCTGAAAACTATCTGAGCTGGTCAGCCCTCTGGCTTTCCCACTCTCCCACTCTCATGGTACCCTGCTGTCCAGGCAAGGTACAGAGCCAGCTCTCCTAAGTGTGACAGCTGGTAAGGGACAGGGCAAGTTTTCCCACCCTCATGACTCCACGGCCAGCTCTCATGCTTGCCATAAGTAGGGGGAACCAAGGGAGAAGAAGAGGGCATCTCTTCCTCATCTGCACCATTGAAGAGCAGTCAAGAGGCAGAACCAGCCCTCCTATGCTCATGCCCTTAGGCTGGCTTACCCTCAACACCCACATCCAGAGCCACCTCTACTATGCTAGGCAGCTGAGGTACAGGGTCTGCTCTCCTGAGTACTGCAGACGAGGAGGAGCAGGGCCAGCTCTCCTTTTTTCCTGATACCAGGGCCCAGTCTCCCACCTGCTGCAGGTGGCAAGGGGCAAAAGGGGAAGAGGGTATCTCTCCCTCCTCCATGCTACCACAAGGGAGACAAGTGGCAGAGCCAACTCTTCTGCACTCATACCCTCAGGGCAGGCTTGCCTGAAACTCCTGCAATGTGCAGAGCATATTCTCTCAAGTACTGTAGCTAGCTAGAGGCAGGGTTAGCTCTCCTGTCCTCCTATCCCAAGGCCAGCTTTCCCACAATGCCTAGGTGAGGAGTGGGGCCAGTTCTGCATAGTCCTCAACCATCAATACATTCCCAGGGAACATATTGCCTGGCCTTTGATGGTAACATCCCTGCTGCTGCAGGGCCATGACTCCAGACATGGCTCTGGGTGATAGCCCAGGCTAGGACACCACCATGATCTCAGGTGGCACCACTGGCTGTTCCTCACTATCAAACTATACCTTACTATCCTCAAGTCTCTGGTTCTGCCTCTATTCATTATACCCACATCCTGTTTCTCTTTTTCTTCCATTTCTCCATCACTTACCTGCTCCTTTACTGGTACCTGGAGTTTCTGAATGTCCGGGGTTGTTTCAGGAATACAATGCCACTCGTGCATTATGGCATCTGGCAAGGGTCATCTCTGGCATGGTCTGTACCCCAGGTCTGTGCAGTGCCAGACTGGGGATCATCTCAGGCTGGCTCTCTGGGCTCCACGGCATCGGTCTAGTGCTCATTTCAGGCTCATTCCTCACCCAGGTCTACCCAGGTGGCAAGGGCCATCTCTCTCGGGCTAACTCACACCTGGTGCTTGCAGCCCTAGACAAAGTTCTTCTAGCCTTCAACTAGCTCCCTGCCCTGAGAACTCATCTGGGCCTGCACAATGAGGGACATGTGGCTGATTGTCTCAGGCTTGCTATTTTCAGGGAACCTTAGGCTACTATGCAATAAGATATTCACAATTCAGAGCACACTTGATCATAGCCTCTCTCTTCTCTGCCACCTACTGACACACACATGATATAGCAGTCACACCTCCGATGCCTCTAGGGGCAGGATTAAATATTTTGAAGATCAACTGTGCTCTGTTTAACATAGATGTCCATACCAGACATGGTGAACAGCTGACAGTTGTACATAGACTTTCCTTTCAGGGCAGGAAAACTAACTCTTATGTCCAAAAGGAAACTGTGAACCTTAACCTGAGGATTGATGTCATACTGCCCTCCCCCACATCATATCCATATCAAATTGTGAGGTAGCTTCCAGTTTACAGTGAATATTTGCACACAATGATCTGTTTGTTGTTTGCATATGCACTAACTCTGAGAGGTTACTATCAGGGACTATCTGAATGGCAGTTTGACTGTATTGGGCTGCTGCTTCTCACTGGCCTGGCGGCAGGGACAGTGGGAACAAATGGTGTTCTGTGCTATTCACTCTTTCTATGTGGTTCCCATATGAAGGGGAGAACCTAGTGAATGCTCCTGGACTCAGGAGGATTACTCTTCTGAAGACACTCTACTCTTTGAGGAGAGAAGACTGAAATAAATGAAACCAGAATCTCCCACAGGCTTATAGGACGTTCCATATAAACCCAGGGGAGCCTCTTGAATAGGAATGCCTATCTCCCACTGAATCAAAACTAGCATTCTCTTACAGAGGTCTCTCCTGTGCCGTGTCTTTTAAATGCTGACTACAGTAGAAGAGTTGAAGCAAGAGGGTCATCAGGAACTCAGGGAATAACTTGACCACCACTTTCCTATAGGAAGTCACAGGTAGAAATGTGCACAGGGCCTGGGATGCCTATAAGGGAAGGAAAGTGGGGTTAAAATAGGCAATTGTGTCCCCCAAAGATTGTCAGTCATACAGAGGGCACGAATGGCTGCAAGCCTTCCCAGCCTCCTTCAGCATGCATGTGTATTCACTCACTCAGCTCCACTCACTAAGTCTGTGGAGAAGCAGGGACTGAGCCAAGCTTTCTTGATAATGAGATTCCAAAGAGCTGGGAATGGTTCCCCCTCAGCTGTCACATTTATGGAGAGAAATCTGGTCCTCAACGAGGTCATATATCCCAAGATCCACTTCCTATGTGGCCATGAAAAACCGTCTTAGTAGTAAGAAGACATTATTTTTAGGCTTGTTAAAAACCCAGGCAAGTGATCCAGTCACAGGAGATGCAGCAAGTCATCCTTGAATCTCTTGACCCTTGTTATAGCGACTCCCATAATCCCCACTATCATCCATTCACATATCCATAAACACCACACATTAATAAACAATGGCACCCCTTTTTATTACATTTCTCTCAGTTGCCTCTCAGGCTTGATGATGTTGATCCATGGGAGAAACGTGATAAATACCATTGATATCAGCTCCTCATGTGACTAGTGAAAACTTAGCTGATGGCTATCTCTTTACAGTCATGTACAATTTGCCTTTGGGCAGATCACTCTGATTCTTTGGCTTTCTTGCTATACCAGCCACACTTCCATTATGACAGGATTTTGCCCCGCTCTCTGCCTTTCCAAGATGCATATAAGTATTGCCCTGCATCAGCCCAGGATTTTGATTTTAAGTCCTTTCAATATGGAGATGTGGCATGTCCAACTTACCTTAAATCACCACGGTCGCCTTCTTTCCCTCACGTGTACAGCTTTATATTTCCTTTGATATCAAATGTACATATTTGTTCTTTGTCTCTGTGTCTTAGCAGAATGCATGCTCTGATAAAGATGTGGCACACCATAAATATGTGTTGGATGGATGGATGGATCAGAGGGGCTGTGTCAAGGAAGTGGGGCTTAATCTGTGCAGATAAGAGGAGTGTTCTGATCAGAAAGACAACACAGAATAGAAACGCTCATGGTGTCACTTACCGCCACAGGCATCATGTTGGTGGCATCAAGGGAGAATCGTCTTTTTTCTCCCAGGGATTCCTGCCTCTCTCCAGGCTTTCCTTTCAGTATTAACAAGAGTGTCTTTAGCACTTCAGATGCAACACTTGACTCCATACTTGCTGCTTGCCACATGAGTAGCAGAGTTCTGCAAACACAAGGCATCAAGAATCATGTTTGCCTTTTGCAGTTCTGAGTTTGTTACAGCTAGCAGAAGGGAGGTGAAACCTTCATCTCCTCCAGTGTATGATCTATAGACATAGAACCATATGATATTTCTAATCTCTCCTAATGTTAGAGTTGTGCTGACCCATAGAATCAAACTAACAAGGTTTTGTTGTTTAATATTTCTTACAGTTCTAGGTCATGAATGATGAACATTAACGGCATGAATTTCAGGTAAGCATTAATGGGCAGAAAATTCTCAATTGGTTTTACTAATTTTTAAAAACGATTAGCTTTGGTTTTGTGTGTGCACATGAATGTGGGTGCCTATGAAAGGCAGAAGAAGGCATTGAATCCCCTGGATCCAGAGTTGGTTGTAAGTCACCCAATCAATGAGTGCTGGGAACTTAACTCTGGCCCTCTGTAAGAGCAGCACTTAACCACTGAGCCCTTTCTCTGGCCTTTATTTTGGAGCTTTTGTCTGACCTTAATAAATAAGAAAAACCTGGTCTGGCAAGATGGTTCAGTGGTTAAGACCACTGGCTGCTCTTCCAGAGGTCCCATGTTCAGTTTGCAGCAACAACATAGTGGCTCACCAGCATCTATAAAGAGATCTGATGTCCTCTTCTGGCATTCATGTGTACATGCAGACAGAGCAATTGTACATTAAAACAAAATTCATAAATAAATAAATAATAAATAAATAAATAAATAAATAAGAAAAACTATGAAGTTTTTCTCAAGAAAAAAAATGAGTAAGTTAACAATGAACAAAAAAAATGCATTATCTTTTTGAAAAAAAAAAGTTTGGGTAAAATTTGTAACAGAACACAATTTAACCCCTCCTCTCAATAGTGGCATTGATAAAATCTTGAGGTCCTACTGTGTGCTAACCATTGTACAGAGTAACATGTAACATATGATCCTATTTTAACCATATCTAGACATCTTAGGTGATGCAAAAATAAATTTCTTTTCAGAAAAAGAAATTGGGTCTGACTGCACTAAAGATCAAGCTTGGGCCATATAACTGTGGAGCATGTGGACCAGTATGCACAGTGGGACAGTCTGGGGGAGGCCTTACCTGTCTGCAGGGACTGGGAACTCCATGAGCTGAAAGATGACCTTCTTAGGGGAAGCGCGTGTCAACAGGCTGATAACTCGCAGCAGGGCACTCTTCATCAGGTGGGAAGGATTCTCAAAGAGCTGCTCATAAATGTCATCCACAATTTTAGACACCTGGAAGAAGAATTTCCTCAATCAACAGAGATGTCAAGTTCCTTGTCCACCTTTAAAAGGGGCCATTTCTCTGTTACAGGAATTCAGCCTTTATTGCAATGACCTACACAGCAACTAGCATACAGATAAGCAGTAACAGAAAGTATACTTACATGATTGCAGAGAAATGCTTATTAATGGTCAGGAATAAAGTCATGTATTTATGGATATTTGGACAAAAAAGGTATAAAGGATAGTTGGTTGAGGTGATAAATTGCTGAGCCCCTTTTCAGTTCAGCTTCTCTTTGGTTACTGATTTGCTGTGGTAGATGGTAGTTTCACATCTGTCTTATCCCCGTTCCTGCCTCCAGTGATGTGCTACAGCTTCTTCCAGGATTCTCTCTGAGGGCTCTTTCCTATTGTGTTGGGAACTCTGTTTGCTTAAGGACATGTCCATGGACCTCCCATTTCTCCCAGGCCTTGTTTGGCCTGTGGAACCAATGCTCTTGTTTAAGGACATGTCCACAGACCTCCCATTTCTCTCAGGCCGTGTTTGGCCTGTGGAATCAATACTCTCACCCAAAGCAATGATGAGAACTCTCTGTGAGGTAGCCTTTGCCTTGCCTGCTTTCTGCATCTAAATGACTTTTCTTTGCCTACCTTCTGTCACAGTGCACAGTTGTCAGGAGAGGGAACTGTGAGTCCTGTATGTCTATCACCATCAAGACTGTATTATGGGTCTGCATTGGGATCCCTATCCAGAAGACCCTCTCACTCTTCACTAAAGGTTGGATTTGTCAGTTTGAAGTTGTCAGTCTTTGAGGGTGAGTTCTGTAATTTGAGCCCCAACAGTACTGTGGAGTACAGGGGAACCTTATAAGAGATGAGGTTTGCATGGTTCCTGCAGCCCCAGGTACATGTAATGTTTACAGTGCTTCATGTGCATAGGATTGCCATGATGTTTGAGAAGCTCAGTGGGAAAACAAGCTGAATATGAGACAGAGCAAACTGAGACTTCAACCACTCAGCTGGAAAATGAAACAGAAGGGAAGAAAAAAAATAAGATGTTATAGTCTAAGTATGTCTCCCAAATGTCATGTTAGAAACCCAGCTCTCAAATGCAACTCT